GATCAGTTCTTTATCTTTTAGGATGCTAAACTAAGGAAAAGGGGGATTGTTCCTGCTGGTAATTCTCCTTCAAAAAACTCAGGATAGTCCTTAGTCTGAAACCAAGACCACTCTTCTGCCTTCTCTACCCTGCAGGTTTCTTTCACTAGATAACAAATACTCTCTGTAAGGATCACCCCTCACACGTGTCTGGGTCCCTCACACCCTTTTTAGAGGCAGATATGAGTTCTAGGCAGCACTGAAAGTCCCCAAAAGGTCATTTTGATTCCACTAGCTGTCTCCACCCTCTGCAATGGACCAAGGGGAACCTGTTTTCACTCTGTGTCTGAGTTGCAAAGGCAGATGCAATGACAGTAAAGGGGAAAACATGCAGAGCTGCATCACAAACCAATTCATCAGCAAACAGAGCACGCCTGCCTTACGAATTTGCCTGCAGCTCCTGTCTACTGTGTTATTTTTAAACTGCCTGCAGGTTGCAGATTTTTCAGTGGTCCTTCTCCTGCCAGTGTACACACAGGATTTAGCAAGGCACAAGTCTCATTGCCACGAATTTAAGTTAGCAAAATTCCCAGCACATTAAAATTCGGCATCCTTCATCTTCCCACAAAGTTCTTGCTGCATTTGTGTAGTCACAAGAGGACATCCCATGCCTCTTACAGCCTCCCTCTGTGGCCAAGGACAGTGGAACTCAGCTCTGCACCCCTGATGTTCCCAACTGCCATCCATCAGCCTGCAGTTGCTGTCATCAGCAACCCAGGGATCAAGCTACAGACTCTTTGGCTCATCATGAAAACCCCAAGAAGATGGACCCAACTCACTGAACCCAGTGCTCAATTTAACAGCACTGCCATGTCATCTCAGCCCCAGCTGCTGTACAAATGAGAGCTGTGGGCAGGCACAGGGCACTTTTCCATCACACACCCAGGACACAACTCACAGAACTCACAGCAAACCTGCCCCACTCCTGGAATAAGAGTCAGGATTTGACACGTGTAAATGGGAGAGTTTCTATGTGCAGAAAATCTTCACAACCATCACACAATTCCTACAGGGAAAGGACTAACAGGAAGAGTGGTCTATTTATGGCACCACAGTATTTTAAAGAAGAAAGCAAGGAGGTGTTTTTCAGAAACACCAATTGCCACAATTGCTGCTGATGTGAACAGAAGCTGCTCAGACTTTCTGAGGGGTCAGACCCTGCAGCCAAATGTAATGAATATTATGGTTTGTTTGCTTCTTCTCTGTTGCCTGGTTGATCCTGCAGCCCAGGGCTGCTCTGCAGAGCAGGACCCATCAGTTTGGAGCCTTTCCCCTCATCTGATTTGGGAGTCTCAGACTTTAAATCATTCACACTTGGTCACTGTTAGGAGCTCTAGAAATACTCCAGCTGGGAGAAGCACTTGCCCAGCATCATCAGAGGGGCACAGCCACACTCACTTGCACCCCTTTGACACACACAGAGCAGAGGACAAGTGTGTGATATCCAAGGGCTTTGTTTTGGAGCTGGAGCTCCAGCACAGCAGCCTTTGCCCTCAGTGGGGCACAGCAGAGAATTTAAAGTAATTTTGATGTAAAGAGCCAATAAGCTTCAGTCAGAGCACTCAGCTCCCCACAGGGCTGACCATGGTGTGTGGGACCAACTGGTCTGTCTTGGCAGTGAGGACACTAAGGGCAGTGGGGACAGTCAGGTCCCTGGGCTGGGGTTAATCTTGTGCTCACTGGCCCCTGACAACAACTGCCCCTCAACCTTCCCCATTACACACAGTTAAGCTGTTGCTCCTTTCCCCTGCTGGTTTGGAGAGTCAGGGTTTGGCTCTTGGCTGTTTGTATTTTGCAGACATCCTCTGTAATTGCATGGCCTGGCCCCAGGCTCTCAGGCTCTGGGAGGAATAACCACATTATTCCACAGAACAGTTAGCATAATTAAAATATTGACTGCAGATTAAAAAAATGTGCTGAATATTTCACAGAGTGGTTGGAGGGTTGGCAAGCCTTGGCAGCTTGTTGGCTGCAGGAGCTGGCTGATATTTAGGCACTCCTTCTCCTTCAGCATTCACTGCTGTACGTGGGAACTGCTTTTTGTGCTGTCAACTTCTTATCTCCCAGGCAGCCAACCCACAACCAGGAAAAGATGAACTGACTGGAAATGAGGTGCTCCAAGGCTTTCTTGTGATTCTTATTGCCAGTGAGACCATTTCCTTGTTATTTCTGATTTCAGGACATCTGTCTTGCTGTGTCTCTATCTATTTATATTTGTGTCCATCTCTCCAAATGCACAGTATAGGAACTGCATATGGTGAGAATGTACCAGGTGATAAATCCATTTGCTTAAGAACTGTTTGTACCATAAGAGAAGCATTAATAAAGTTAAAAAGCCCACAAAAACCTCCATTGGAACATTTGGTTTAGCTTCTATTCCATCTTAGACATTTGATTTCTATCTCTGTTTCCTCTGTTATCCAAGTCTATCCTTACATTTCCACAATGAAGAAGGCAGAAGGGGGTGGAAGAAACCCAATTAGCAGGGCTGGAAAAACTAAAGAAAGACTGATTGCTACAGGGCATATATGTTGAAGTTTATATTTAAATGTTTGGTGTCTTTGCAATCTCTCCCAATTCTCTAATTTTTGTGGGAATATCTGGGATGATAAGCATTGCTAAAGACACACAGGTTTGGGTTTCAAGGACTTCTTTGTCTTTGTACATCCCCTATCTGGCAAAAAGGTGAAATGATCTCATGCTGCCAGTGTTAAACAAAACATGTGGATGATGTCTAAAGCACTTTGCAGACACCTACATCCTGAACAGAGTGCTGTAACTTGCCAAGGTACTCCTTTAAATCAGCTTCTTATTTAATCTTCACTTACATGCTTGAGAAACCCCTGGAATGGAGGAGCAGCAGGGCAGTCTCACAGGCAAGGACCAGGGAGAGCTGAGCCTGTCCTGCTCCTCTGCAGCTTCCAGGGACAGGGCTGTGATTTCCAGTCTGATCTACAGCTCTTTTGAGATGAGTTAATTCTGTGAACATTTCTATTCCCACTCAAGAGATGTCACAAGAAATGGCCAAATGCTATTTTCTGAGCCTTCTATCACAGCTTTAAAGTGATCATAATAGCATATTAATAGGAGATCCACTCAGCCATTTTCCATTCTCATTGCCATTGCTGTAATCAAGAGTAGCTCTACTGCTTCAAAGCTTATTTCTATGATACTTCTCATGTTTGAATGTGCTGTTAGGAAAGGAGAAGGATATCTTGGCACTCCAGCTGTGTTCTGTAGGCTACTGCCTTTCTTCTGGGCTATTTTCTGCTCTCAACTTAATAGTGACCTCCCAACTGTAAATGATAAATCTCACCTTGGGTAGACACCATGCTTTCAAAGGCAAAAATGTATTTTTATGTACGTTTTCAATATTTCATAAATTAAACCCCAAGATAAACTCAGTGGGATGAGAGAAAAGGTGCTCTAAATTCAGTACAAAAAAGAGAATTTCACTGGGCATGCATGATGTGTGTGGGGGGAACTGTTACAGCTTTTCTCTGCTCTCATGGTTCACGTGGCCAAGATTTTAGTTTGTCTCCACTGAATGATTCATCTCTATTACCAGTATTTTCAAAATTAAATGGAAGAGGAGGAATGTGTTCATTCCCCTGCTGTGTTTAATAATCTTCCAAAAATTGTTTCCTGTTTACTTGGAAATCCCCACCTCCATGCTGTGATTTAGACATTTTCACCCTGTTAACTCAAAAGCAAAGCCTAGAAGATGCTGTAGAGTTTTTCTCTTGCAGTCATAAAGCAATTTGTGATAAGTGTTGATGTTCCAGGGGAAAATTACTTGGAAATGTACATAAGTTCACAGCTTCACATTGCTCATTTAAATCATAACTGATTGTTGAAAAGAAAATACAAATTGTTGTTAGTTTTTACTCATGTAATTTATCTGATGGGAGCTTCTCTTTTAACAATTACTGTATTGGTGCTCAGTATAGACATCAATAACCCCATTTATGGGGCTGTGCTGGTTTCCTCCATGGTACTGGTTAGCACACAACTCTGAATACTCTGTGTGCATTGTTTCATGCAAGGCTTGTCTATAAGTAAAACGTACAGTGTATTTTCAAGACAAAATATTAAAAATACCTAAATTGATTTTCCAGCTGAAGCATTATCTCTGAATTACTGTGGTTTGGCTGGACAAAGGGAAAGAATTTTTCCCTTAGCTTCCTCAAGGAATAAGTTTTCACCAAAGTTCTAAGATTTTACTTATGTAGCACATATCAAACAAACTATTCTTATATAAAAGATTTGCATTAGCTCACAAAAGTCAGTGTGTTCTGTGTTAGTTTATGTGAAGAGTTCATTTAAAAGGCAGCAATATCCTGTGGCCTGAGAACAGAACTGGAAGCTGGGAATTCCAAAGGGACCTGAGCTTTCTCACACTTCCTCTCAGCTTTTCATAAAGGTCTGCATTTTTGTAAATGAACATTCCATTTCTCTGATTAACTGGAGGCCACATGGGCCTGATTTACAGATGTGTTAAATTCCTCCTGCTCCCACTAAAGCCATGGGGAGCTCTCAGCTCTCCAGGTTTCCAAAGGCTGTGATGCAGCTCCTGGGGGGAGAGTGACACCATTGCCTTGGTGGGTACCAGGCACGGGCAAAGGTAGGGAAGGGATGGGAAAAGCATAAGGTGTACAAATTCAGCACATCCCCCTCTCTCTGGGCATGGTAGCCCTGATGAATCTATGAGGGATGGCAGGAATGGAGATACTGAGATATTTGGCATCCAGACAGGTTCTGTGTAAGAGTGAAGAGAGCAGCTGGTGGGAGGCCCTGGGCTGGCACAGAGAGGTTGGACACCTCTGGCTGGTGTCCCTCGGCCTGGCCACTGGCTCCACTGTTTATTTGGGTGACAAGACTCTGCTTGTTATCTGGTGAGGCTCCACCTGCCTGCCCTTGGTAACTCAGTGTCCAACAGCCATCCCTCCTCTTCCCTCCAGATGAGATGGAGCAATCCCCGGCAGTGCGCTCGGACTACTTGGTCTCAGGGATTCGAACTCCACCAGTGAGGAGGAACAGCAAACTGGCAACACTGGGCAGGATCTTCAAACCATGGAAGTGGAGGAAAAAGAAAAATGAGAAGCTAAAGCAGACGTCTGCAGGTAGGCTGGGAACAAGAGAGGGATGTGCACTGAGCAGAGCTTAGTTTGGTGAAACTTGGTTACATAGGACATGCTAAAGGTGACCTGATCTAAACCTGATTCAGAGATTTCAGCATTCAACAGGTTAATAACATGTAGGGCTACAAAGAGCCCATATGTGCTGACTTTCTATACAATACAATAGATTACATTTAGAAGAACAGGTCGAAACAGGAGAGTGAAGCACAAGCCTTGCCACAGACTGCTTTCCATGGGCTCTGCCTTCTCCAAATAGGCTACACATTTATGGCCCCAAGTATGATCACCCCTTTTATTTGGGGTGAAGATTATATAGGTCACAGTAACATTATGAGAAGTGACAGGAGGGAGCATGTGAAAAACCTTCCCTCCAGCAGCTGTCCCTGGGGGGAAGGAGCCCAGCACACAGCACAGCATGTGCCTGCTGGTCTCCAGGGATGTCCCAGGAGATCAGTAAGGAGACAAACTCTCTTGCCTTTTCCTAAGACAGGATGGGGCAGTTCCCTCCACTTGCTCTGATATCCTGTGGGATGTTCCTGAGGCAGCTCTAAGGTGCTGTGTTAAACAGAAGGAAGGCTCTGATATCCCTGTTACTCTGCACTCAGTGTGATCCAACAGCAGGTCACACCATAAACCTCAGCTCTACACAGGGGTCATTTTACAGCTGGTTGAACAAAGGAAAAGGCACAAACAGGCTGAGCAGTCCACGCTCCCCAAGACAAAATCCTGGCAGTTCTTTCCAAGCATGCAGTAGCTGAGACTAGAGGGAATTCCCATATTGCATCTTTTTCACTCCATTATATGAATACTCTGTTCTTAACTGGAGCTGTTGTGCTATTACTTTGTGCAGTGCTGGAGAAGAAGATGACAGCACGGCAAGGCCGGGATGAGCTCATTAAGAAAGGCCTTCTGGAGATGATGGAACAAGGTAAGGAAAAATTCCTAATCTTTTTTGTCAGAGGCTCTCTCAGAACACATGGGAAACACATAATTGCAAAAGCAGAAACCTAACAAGCAAGTGAATAAAAAGGAAAACCTTCAATCCAAACAGAGAGGAAAACTCTGTGTCTGAATTAAGACTTCTCTTTCTTCAAACTCCTCCCTGCTGCAATCAATCCATGTAGTTTAATTTTGATGCTTTACCCTCTTGAGTGCAGCTCCATCTTCACTTGATTTATACATGGTGCAGTCTGAGCTGGTCCGTATATTTTATGTAATTGCTCTAAAGCCAGTTAAATCCTACTGCCAAGAAAGCCAGCTAAAGCTGGATAAATACAAACTTCAACACACAGATGCAGTCAGCTAACATGTACAAGCCAGGGGTGCAAATCCCATCTAATGATACTAATCTGATGTTTTCAGCTGTCTTCCCAGTAAACCAAGTTTGTGACAGAACACATCACTATTGCTCCTGCTTTTCATTCACATGGAAAAGTGAAGCTTTTGGGAGTGTCATTTTAAAGCTTCCCTGAGTCCAAACCAGCAGAATTCATGGAAGGAAAGATGATAAAGTGTGAGAAACATGCACAAAGGACCATGGTTCTTGTGCAGCCCTGCTCCAAAGCCCTGACAGATGCTCAAGGGAGAGAGAGATCTGGGTGACTGTTCTGTGAGATCAAGTGAGCTCCCAGTGTTACAACATCCCACTTGCCATTTCCACCTGAACCGAGATGAAAACCATAAATCCATCTTTACTTTGAAAACTTTATAGCAGAAAGTCCTGAAGAAAGACTGGTCTTTTGAGTTTGACCAATCTCAGAGGTAGAAGTTCTGTTCTTTACAAACCATAGTTGAGTTTCTTGGTGTAAAACAAATGCCATGTCTATGAACAGCCTGTGGGACAATACTCAGTGATGCCATGCTGGAGTGTAACCAAGCAAATGGAGAGTCAGAAAAAAAGAATTTTAAACAGGGCTTTTTTTTTTTTCATTGCAGTAAAGCAATTTTCATGTTATTTTATTTGATATATTTTAAGATGAATTTATGTTCAAGTCAAAAAAATAATCTATCAAACCATCAGCTTATTCTAAAATGGAAGTTCTTAGAAAGCTCATTTTTAGTTCTTGTCCATTGAACTCATTGTGTCTCTCATAATTCTAGATAATTAGTTGCCCTATTAGCTTATTAGTACTACTGGATAGAAAAATACAACCTATTCCTGCTAGGAATAGAATGTTCCCTTTAATCCATGACTTTGAATACTTGCTTATCTAGAGCTTCGCAAAAGAACAGTAAAATAAACCTTCTGTAGAGCACGTTAAAAGGTAATAATGATGAATCAATAAACCTCTTGCACACATAATGAACTGGTTGGGAGGAAAACAGATGATGCCAAGTTACAAGATCCTTTTAACAAAATTAAAATAGTTTAAATAAATACATATAGTCCAGTGAGGAGTGATGAAAAGCTGAAATAAATACATATAGTCCAGTGAGGAGTGATGAAAAGCTGAAATAAATACATATAGTCCAGTGAGGAGTGATGACAAGCTGTGCTTTTAACTAGACAGCTGCAAGCAGACTGCTTACCTGTCTGCAAAAAAAGTTGCCTAGAGCTCCTGTAAACATCAAACAAATCCCAGAACCTCCCTGAGCCCAGCGAGGGGACAATGGCTGACAGGCAGCTGAAGGACACTGCAGCTGCCTGCAAGTTATTTTTCTTTACGGAGTGTTGTGAATCTCCAGGGTTATTGTATTGTATTATTAGGAGAAGCAGCTTATTAACTGGAATAAAAAATTGACCCAAATAATTCTCAGTAAGTGATTAGTGCCCTACTTGGACTGAGCTGAAGCGGCAGCAGTTTCAAGGCTAAGTCCTCGTTTCTGCCGTAAGTTGCAATTGTCAAAGCAGCAATACTGTGCTAAAAGACTGCAGTAAATCCTCAAATCCCTCTATTTCATCAGGTTTCACTCCGCTTCCAGGGACCTAATTCCCGCTCACTTTCATAAATAGCCAAGCTGGGCTGATGCTGCAGCCTGAGAAGCCTCGTGCCTTCCCAGTAGCCCTGTGTCACTCAGGGCTGGAGCACAGCTCTGTCTGGCTCAGGGCACACCACGAGGCTGGCACAGGATCTGCAGCGGGCTGGGAGCAGCCCAGGGGGAAACTGCCCCGTCCTTGCTTTGGTGATGAGTCATCCTGCCAGGTTATGTCACCCTGTCTCCTCACACAACCCCAAAGCAGCTGCCCAGACATGCTGTGCCATTGCCTGGGCCCCTTCTGTCCTTCTGTGCTCCCCAGCTCTGCTCCCACAGGGCGATGCCAGCCTGCCCCCTGAAAACTCCTGGGACACAGCTGCTCTCCCAGCAACCTGCCTGCACTCTGGGAGAGGTTACATGGAGCAGGGTCTGGCATACAGTGGGATTAATTCCCAACAAAATCACAGCCCTACTTCTGATTCTTTGGAACACTCAAGACTGGTTTTTTCCTTACCCCTGGATGTAAGGTCTGTGCTTTCTCCTGTCCCCAGCTGATCTCTCTAATATGGTTTTGGGACCCACTGCTACTCACAGCATACCCACTTTCATCTAAGCACTAGCTGATCATTCCTGCCCAAGAACATCATGGTTGTGAATCTCAGATGCTCCTCAACAGAAATTCTCCAGCAGGGCTGTCTTCTGTTTGTCATTACTTCATTAGTCATTCCACTTTCCATGGTCCAGGATGTGAAGGAACTCATGTCTGCCTGCAGTTTCACTGAGGCACAGCTGTCAGCAGCCTGCCTTTCCCTGGGATGTGAGGAATGTGCAAAGCAGAGTTACCTCAAAAACGTTTAGGGAGCTTCCCCTGATATTTCTCCCCACTGTGAGCACAAAGGAGATCAGGTGTATCTGTGCTTACGGCCCCAGGGCTGAGGGCTGCTGTCAAGCGATGGGGGCAGCTGTTAATGCACTGGTGATTATGTATAGGCTGCCTTCACAATGAGATGAAATATAGGCAATGAACTTTTTCCCCCTCCCCTTCCCTGTATCATAGCAACTGTGCTACTGCAAGGGCTATTTTAAGAACAGTAACTTTTCACCAAACGTGATTATGAGGCAGATTGAGTGAGCTCAGTGTGCGAAAATACTGCATCCCTTCCACAGCATCTTTGGGCCAAAAGCTGATACCCTCACCCAAAAGCACAAGAAATTACTCTGCAGATTGTCCAGATAGCATTAAAAAGCTGTAGATGCTTGCTATTTAAAATCAATGTTCAAGAAACTTGTCATGATATCATTGCAAGAAAACAGCCCTGTCAGGAGCTTCCAGAAAGGAGTGTCCAGGGCTGAGAAATACAAGCTGGGAGGTGAGGGGTGGACAGCAGGCATGGCCATCAGCATGGAACACTGCCCAGGGTGGGAAGTAATTGCTTTCTGTGGTTTGCAACAGTGATGTACATCTTGTAGATTCTGAGAGAGTAAAAGGATAGTTTGTATTCCAAGGACTCTTGCCTGAATAGGAGAAGAGTAGAAAAGCTTCAGTCATCAAGCCTTGTACAGCTGCAGGGATCACTGGCACAAAAATCTCTCAGAGTAAGCAAAGGGAGCAGTTTCTAGGTCTGCATGAAGAGGGATTTGAATTTCTGATCAGCTCAATCACACAGGACACGCTTTTCAAAGCTGAGTAACTGAAAGTGTGCTCAAAACCTACAGCTCGGTAGGGAATATTCCTTGGGCAAGGCTCTGGCATTGCTGCTGGGGCAGCTGGATGGCAGCATGTTGTGAGCCTGACACAGCTCACACATGTCAGACCAGCCTGGGAATGTGCTGCACCAGGAGCTCTACTCATGGAAGGAATTGCCTTCTCCCAGAGACCTCTGGTTGCCCATGATTTTGCTCATCTCCCACATGGCAGGTGCTTCCAGAGGCCAGTGGCCACTTGCTGGGGCTGCTGGGTGCCCACAGAAACAGGTGCCCATTGAGAAAACTGAGTGGGTTTTAGCATCCAGATGGGCTGGTGTCCACAGGGTTTGCATTGCAGATGGTGAACGCTGCCAGAGATCAGGTGCTGCTCTAAGAGCAGCCTCAGTCCCCTGAGCACAGCAGCTTTGGGACCCACTCCTCTCAAGAGGATAGCAGGGAGTGTCAGCTTTCTCTGCTCGTGCTTTAGTTAAGATGAAATGATTTGTTGTTTCAGATACCGAAGGCAAAGCCTGCCCTGGTGAGGATGCCACGAGAGTGACACAGGGTGACCCTCCAGCCCCTGTGTGCCAGGCACTGGCTCCAGAAGAGGACCAGCAAGAGAGTCCAACAGCAGCCACAACTGATGTGACCTCCTTTGGTGAGGAGCTGCATTTGGAGGAGCTGAAAGAAGATGCAGGTATTGGATATAGAATGTTTTTAAAACAACTGTAAAATTTTATGAAAGTACTTCTGCCAAACTGTTTTGTGAGGAGTCAAATATGTCACTGCTTTAAAGGGTCAGAGCACCTTGTTCAGCTCAGCCCATTCTAGGTTAGCAATTGGTACTTAAAACCAGTGATTTTTGAGACTTCTACCAAACTAAGGGACAATCCAAAGCTTGGTGTGATGGGATTAGCTGGATTATGAGACGATCCAGCCCTGGCATGGTGCCCCGTTGGTATTAGCAGTGGCTGCTGTGAAGATGAGACAAGCTTCCCTTAAAAACATTTCTTAAACTTCTGTGCCAAGGCTGAAATTGTTTCTCCTGGCTTGGGAGAACAATGTCAATACACAGCCCACAGAGCCCATATCATCACCCTGGAACAACATGCTGCAAATCCAAGTGAAGTTCAATACCAGGAGCACAGATAAGCTAAACCAAGCTCCTTTCATGCAATTCTACTCTGGCAGAGCTTATCCATGACAGCAGTTCCTTGGGACTAGAGCAGCCTGGCACAACCCAGCAGCTGGAGGGTTTCTATTCACTTCCTGAGAACCAAGAATTGCAAAGCTGCAGAGATAATGCTTTATCCTGGTTTGTGCCACTCCTGCCACGGAGTGATTATGGATCTTCCTGGCCTCTGGTCAATCTTTACCCTTCTCCATCTGCCCTGGCTGCCCTTTGTTCTCTGTCCCACCCCTCATGCCCTGCTTTCCCTGGGGTCCAGCCCCTGGCTGCTTTCAGGCATGTCCATTCCTTCAGACCTACCCAAACATGCTGTTGATACCAGAAACAACCACAAATTAACCTGGAAGTGAAGAGTTCTTTGCAGGGAATGTAAAGTGGACATTCTTTAGCCATCAGCACACAGTGGCAGTTTGCTTCAGGATTCTCAGAACAGGATGGAGTTCAGAATCAAAGAAGTCTTTCTGACTGAGGCTGAGTGTGTGTCAGACCCACCTTCTCTACAGCAAAGGTCCCACTGTGGCTGCTCCTCATCACCTGTGCCAGGCAGCACCTCATGTCCCAGGGAGATCCACTGATTTCAGAGCAGTTAATGCCAGAGACAGCATTGCTCCACTCAGGGGAATGCACTACAATCTCACTAATTTTCCCATCAAGCCCCCAACATCTACGGGGGCTCTTGATCTTTCTGTAATGTAACCCATTAGTGACTTTTTTTCTTCTCTTCCTCTATTCCACATTTTGTCTTCTATGCAGTGGCATGAACACACAAAGTGATGTCAGCCAGGAGCAAGGCATTTCCCTAGAAGTACATTTAAAAGAAAATGATTTCCTTCTATAATTCACACAATTACCACATATGGCAGCTTTCCTATCAAGCCAAATTTCACAAGAATTCCTGCTAACGATACGTATTTATTCTACTTTCCTGTCTTTTTTGAGCGATAAATACTCATTCCTCCTCCTCTAGGCACACTCATTAATCTGTTTGTCAACAAATTAAATGCTATTATCTTGCCAGTGCTATTGTTTCCAAGTGCCTAAGTGCTTTGGTGCCTCCCCACGCACTCTGAGCACGAGGCTGCTGAATGTTCATTAATACAGAGTTTGTGTTCCCAATGAGACAGAAAACTGAGCCAAGAAGAGATTTGTGATGCTGCAGCTGTGGGTGCTCTGGGTGCCCACTAAAGCAAGATGTTTGGAGATGCCCTGGAATGGTTTGGAGGGAAAGGTGCTCTGTTTAGACAAGCTGGAATGCTAAAAGGAGTGGGATTTGCCAAGTAGTTTTGACCTCTCTCATGCTCTGCTTTTGTGAGAGCCCACTTGGAGTACTGCATCCAGCTCTGGAGTCCTCAGCACAGGCAAGGCATGGACCTGTTGGAGCAGGGCCACAAAACAGATCAGAGGGATGGAACACTTCTCCTGTAAAGACAATGAGAGAGCTGGAGTCATCCAGCATGGAGAAGAGAAGGCTGCAGGGAGATACTTCAGTACTTAAAGGGGGCTTATAAGAAAGATAGGGGCAAACTTTTTAGCAGGACCTGTTAACAAGGAAAAGTGGTAATGTTTTTAAACTAAAAGAAGGTAGATTCAGACTAGACAGAAGGCAGAAATTTTTTTCCAATGAGGGTGATAAAATGCTGGAACAGAATGCCCAGAGAGGTGGGAGATGCCTCATCCCTGGAAACACTCAAGGTCAGATTGGACAGGGCTCTGAGCAACCTGATCTTGTCGAAGATGTCCCTTCTCACTGCAGGGGGAGGTTGGAGTCCCTTCTAGCCCCCTTCCAACTCAGAGTGTTCTGTGATTCTGTGCTAAGCAGAGTCTTACACTGATCTCCCCCAGTGCTTCACCTGCCAGGGCAGGAGCAATAACCCTCATGTTACTACTGAGCACGCCATGGCTGGAAATGCAGTTTGGAGAGAGCCTGCCCATGGCTGGGGCCTGGCTCAGACTCAGCCTTGAGCCTCTGTGGGGGTCCCCACATATGCCAAGGCAGAGCTCAGGCCGTGTAACAGAGTGTGAAATCCAGCAGTGAGGCGCTGTGGGAGTTTAAGCATTGCCAGAGCCAGTTGGTATCTGAGCAGAATTCAAGGATGCTAATTTTGGACTGAAATTCCACCTATGTCCTGCTTCAGCTTCATGCCTTTCTGGATGTATTCCCCTGTGCCCTCATCACAGCCTGGTCAATTTGATGAATTGCTCAGTGATTCAGCCTGCACTAACTTTAAGTGCTTTTGCCATCTTTATGGAGACAATCCTGAAATGAGCACTGCTTCACCATCTCAAATTAAGGCTTTGCAGATTCAATTTTTTTCTCTCAAGTACTTCACCAAGTCCCTGTTCCACTTGCTGCTGAGATCCAAGGGCAAATCTCTTTTATGGCAGGTTCTTTTGGGTTATCAACATTAACCTCAGGAAACACTCAACAGTTCTGGAGTCAGGTACAGTAAAAGAAGACTTGGGAAGCAAGCTGAAGTCATGTATTAAATAAGATAAAAATAAAATTGTGAAAATAAACACGTCCATCAAACTATTGGAAATTCAGCTTTTATGAACTATTATTGGTTTGGTACTCTTTGCCCTTTGGCTGTGTGTTCCTAGCACAGAAGGTACTCACTCAGGAACTGCCACCGCAGCTGTGCTGTAAGAAAATTCCTTACAGTTCTCAAAAGCTGCTTTGCCTTGCTCTCTTCATTATTAAAATAAAAAAGTAGAGGGGAAAAGGCTTTAGGGAAGTAAGGGAAGCTCAGTAGTTTTTTTCAGAAACATCAAAACTAACACTTCAATATCCTCATACATTTTATTCTTCTCCTGCCTTGTCTGGTTGGCTATTTAACACAGTAATTACTTTCACTAAGGAAAAGAACTGCTTCAGTTGTGTGCCATGTGTTCTGTTTTTCTGAATGTTCCTGGCATTGTCCCCTGGCCTATCATTATTAACTTCATGTTCCATTAATTTTACTCATCTTCCTCCTAGCCAAGAAACCTTCAGCACCCACGGAAGAATCAGAAGATGCCAGCCTGCCAGCATCTGAAGACAGTCCACAAGCCTTACTTGTACCTGAATCCACAGATTCCCCCCAGAAACAGATGGAAAGAAACCCAGCACAGCTTCCCAGCCCTCCATTGCTCCCAGCTCCACCACCTAAGGCAATCTCCAAAATCACAAAGAGCATCACAGGTCAGTCATTGCTGCTCAGGAAGCACTTTCCCATCCCTTGTGTGCTGTTCACAGCACAGTATCTAATTCTTTTCTCAGGGTCATTTTGCCCCAAAGTGCTATAAATCAGGCCAGTTACACTGAGTGAACAGAACACCAATGATTCCATGTCCAGTTGCCTGATAACAACCCCCTGATCTTTGTATCACGTATTTATCTGAGTCTCTCAGGGCATTACCTGTTGTGTGTCCATTGCACCAAACACATATAAAACAAACCAAACCAAAGCAACTGCAATAATCTGCTGAATCACATGCTTATATTGATATGCCATAAAACACGGGGAAAATTTAAATGTTTTCATTACCTACACTCCCACTGGACAGCAGAACAACAACCAAGATCGAGCTCAAGTGAAAGGTTCTGCAGAGGTTTCTGTCTGAAGGGTTTGCTCTCTAGGGTGGGCCTAAACCAGAGCTATGAATTCTGGTCTAGTTAACAGAGCACACAGGAGTGATACACCTGGCTCCCACAAATCAATCCTCTGTGCCAGACTCCATTGAACAGTCCAAAAGCAATTCCTCTGGGCCTGATTTTCTAATGTATTGCCAATGTTGTTACGTTTTCCAACATTCTGGCGCTGCAGAAAGGGTGTTAAAATGAATATGATTTTAGTTGGTTCCAATTTTAGGACCCCTACATATGGTAAAAGCAGTTAAAAGGGCCTTATTGCAAATTAAACTCAAGTCCTGTCATCTAAATGTCAGACCTGTTGGATATTTAGACTTTGAAATGACAGCCATTATCCCAGCTCTGATTTGCATCCACACTCATCTGCTGGCACAATGAATAGGGTTTTCAGTGTCACCAGGAAACCAAACACCAGAGGGGCACTGTGACCTGAGCACTGGGGCTCACAGAAAATACTGAGCTCTTCAGTCTCTTTGAAGAGAATTACAAGTGTTTGTTTTCCATGGAAATTATCCATACTTTGTCCGTGCTTAAAAGCTGTAAGAATTTAAGTGGGAGCTGGATTCAAAATGGTATCTTAGTGCGCCTTGGGAGCTGCTGTTCAGGTTGCTTCACATTTCTGTGTTTTGGGTCGGGCTGAAGCCTGTCCCTTCCACCCTGCAAGATGAACAGACCCAGGCCCTCCTGTGACTTTGCTCAGCTGAGAAGGCCATGCTTGGCATCAGGTGGATTTGGGAACCTGTCCTGGAGGGTAGTGAGATTACACCTCCACCAGGCACTTGACAGCATTTTGAGTTATTTTGCTGCAAAGTATTTCTTGTAACATCCAAAATATTCTGAGTTTTGGTGTTTCATTCTCATCTATGTTTTCCACAAGGAACAACTTTTAATTTTCTCAATGACTCCAATAACTGTAGACCCTTTTTCAGTAGTGATTATACATGTTTTATTTTTGTGGGGATGTGGAGGCAGTGCTAAGTTAAAATTAAACAAATACCGTCAGGGAGTGAAAGGGAAGACAAAAGTGTAGGGAGAAAGGTTATGATTATGAAAGAAAAGGAAGATGAAGAGGTTGAAAAGCTCTTTTGTGTTTAGTTTTTTCCCTTTTAACAATGTTAGGGTTGCTGTTAGCAGAGGAGTAAGTCAAGCACCAATTAATCAGAGAGAGGAGGGACAGGGCAAGGTGCCAAGACATCACTTTGCAAGATTATTCTCTGAACAGCTGTCATTAGGACAAATAAAGTGTGATGTAAGGAAACTCTCAATATTGTCCTAAGCTGCCATGAGGATGAGACAGGCCCTTGACCTGTTCCAGGAACAGGCTGGTATAAAGACAAAACAAGGTCTCCTCTCTTCCTGCTCTAGGGTTGAACTGAACCCCTTGCTCTGAGGAAACATGGACACCCCCTTTCACTGTGCAGCAGGATAAAGTGACTCAGGAGGTGGCTTTGTTCACCTCCTCAGGCCTTGATTGATCATAAATGTCCCCTGTGCATCCCCACAGTAGCACATCACCAAAATGCCCCTGAGTACCCAAAACCACCTTTCCTCAGCAGAGCTTGGCTGTCTCCTGGCCATGACAACCACCCTGATCAGTGCAGGAGGAGCTCCGGGGTGGGAAGTGCCTCATTGCCAAGACATTGCACAGACAGTTACAGAAATGCCCCTGTGCTTTCAGACTTTTTGGCAACAGGTAACTTTTGGCCTGCCTTGAACCCTGTCTCCTGTATGCACAGAGACAAATGAAGCTCTGGATGTTGGTTGGGGTTCTGCACTGGAGGGGCAGAAATGTGCAAAAACACCTCCCAGAAATGAAAAAAATGTTAGAGCTTTCCTAGAGCAAGAGAGATTTTACCGTGGATGCAACTGTCCTCACTGAGGGATGCTCTCCTCCTCACCCCACACAGGTGAAAAAGAGACCAGCCTTAGCCTTGTCACTCTCAAATTTTCAGTGTTTGACTACAAGAGCTGTTCTTCCTCCTCGTGCTGTTTATAAGAAAATATTTAATAACTGAAATTAATATTCAAACCTAACTTCTCCCTCTATAGTTTTCTAGTAGGTTCCCTGCTAATAGGAACCAAGTCCTATTTTACATGGTTATTTCAGAATAATCCTGGCCTGAGCAGAGGTTTTTCACAGCTAGGTATTGAAGGATTTATCTCAAAATGAAGTGCAAAAAAGTAAAAGTTTTCTGTGAAAACAAGTTAGTACAAAAGCTGTACAAGCTGCGTCAGTTTAAATTCCTGTTTAAGGCACTAGGTGGCAACAAGAGACAAGAAATACTCTCGGACGAGGCTCTCACACTGCTTTTTACACCCAGCTGAGCTGCTGGTGTAAACAACGCCGTGTAGCACGGGTTTGGGACACAGATATAAGGGAAAGAGAACTGCAGACCAGAAAAACTAATCAGCATCTTTTTCAGGTCAAATGTTCAATTGTCCTAAGGGTGTGAAACTAATTTACAACCAGTGAAATGTCCACTGGGACAGAGAAATGTCTAGATCAGAGTCTAAATTTCAACAAAATGCTTACATTGCACAGAAAACAGCTGAATCTGGGGGTAAAAAGAGATTAGATTTTCCCACCCTTCTTTTTTGTTGTTAATGCTCAATAGCACATCTTTCATTTGGATGTTGTTTTGTTATGCAAACATTATGCTCATATTACGACTTTGGCATTTTCTCTACTGGCATATGAAAGGCAGAGGTCTGAGCTATGCAGCAATCACAGAGGAGCAGATAATAGACACTGGGACATTCTGTCCAGACTGAGAACCACAGTGCATAAATTTTAATACAGTCTGCCAGAGTCCAGCAGAGAAAGTGCTGGATTGGAAAGCCACCACAGTCCAAGTCATTGGTGGTTAGGATCAAGGGGGAATCAAGAATGCCTTGGTGGGCTGGGAAAAAGGAGAATCTGATCCTGTGAGAAACAGGGGAAATGGGGAGGTATTTATTTTGCTAGTTCAAAGATAGGGATTCGTGTAGCAAGAGCCCTCTGAACTCGAATAGTTTCTCAGCCTGAGCAGTTACCTCATAGCAAGAGCAAAACACCATTTTCCTCTGTTCAACACAACTAATTCATTTCAGTGCAGAGCCTGTGTGCAAAAAACCAAAAGCATTTCTCAACTTCTTATCCTCTCGTGTTTTGACTGCAGGAGGTGAAGGTGATGACCCAGCCATGAAATCTCCTCCTTCCACCATCCTGAAGAATTATGTCATTGTTGGTTCCTCCCAAATCTCAGGACAAGCTGCCCTCTTCCACCCCTCTGGCCAGAAAAGCTCAGACCCCCTTGGCAGGGGCCAGGTGACGACACCAACGGGTTCCCCCCACCTGGCTGCCGTTCACCTGCCTCTGCCTCCCAGCAGAGTCATCGAGGAGCTGCACAGGGCTCTGGCCACCAAACACCGCCAGGACAGGTACCCACAGCCTCGTGGCCACAGGGGGGCATGAGGACAGTCATTGCATGACATCATTTCACCTGGGACGTGAGCCTAGCCTGTTATTGGTGTTTTCAGTGCTCCTGCAGCTTGGGTTTGCCTTCCCTGCGATGGCACTACTTGGAACATCCATCCCTGGTTTAAGTGCTTGATTTGGCAGTTACTTCACAGTGTGCTCTTGCTTTATAAGGAGGCTACTGTGGCATGGAAGTAGGTTTCCAAACAGATAGAATCATGTGATAATCCTTGACCTATTGCAAAGGAAAATCTCCCCACGAGACCCCAAGTCAGAGTAGTGAAGGCACATCCTGCTCTAAGCCCCAGCACCCCACACATGAGGAGTGCTGCTATTCCAGGCTGTGTCTCTTGGCTTACATGGCAGCACATACAATATCCATTTGTAACACAAATGCTTTTGTGGGAGTACACTGGGTACTTTATCTGGCTTTCATTATAAGCTCTCCTGTATATTAGAGGAGGAAAGAGATAACCTTTTCCTCCTCGAGCTTCAGAATTAAGCTGGTATAATTTCTTATTTCCATAGCGGCTGTTGCCATGGGGAACAGACTCATACAACATTATTTCCAGGTCCTGTCGAACCTTTCTCACAATCATAAAATATCAGAGTGGTAATATTTCATGCCAGGAATGTTTTACATTAGAAGGACGTGCTGTTGTGGATTTTTTAGTCACAGTATATCTTGTGACTATATACAAAAGAAAAACATCAGTCACCAGTCACCACCCTTCCATATCTTATTTTAGTGGCAGAGACAGCAAAGTAGATCCACATTACCCATGCTCAGCACAGTCTTGAGAATGCCATCCTGTGTTGGCCTGTGCTGAACTCCCTGCCCTGCCCTTTACGAGCTACAGGACATTCTGTTCATTTACATATAATGATAAGTTTCTGCTGTGGCAGTAAAACAGTCTTTGTGAAATCTGGGCTGTGCATCTTCCACCCACAGCTTCCATGGAAGAGAAAGCAAAGGCTCTCCAAAAAAAAGAGTGGATGTGCGTCCATCCAGAACATCCAGCATGGAGCGCAACAAGGAGAAGGAGAACTCCCTGAGTTACAGCAGCGACTCAGAAAACAAGAGGAACTCAGTTAAAGAGTCAGATGAGAACAAAGAAAACATGATCATGAACTCAGAGCTCAAGGAAGACTCTGTTTTTTATCAGGATGAGGAAGTTTTGAATGACTCCATTATTTCTGGTAAGGAAAGTCACTTCTATTCTAAAGGTACACTACCAGAGCCTAACAGAGTGCTCTAAACAAGGCAGCAAGGAACAGAAAGCACAGAGAAGTGTCAATGCCTCTATTGTCACACACCTGTTTAAAGGAATCTTGGTGAGAAGCTAAAGTTAGATTTGAGTCATATGATTGTGGTCGTGTTTGTCTTGCCAGGTACTGCACACTAAGCTGATGTTTAGGGTTGTGCTGGTAAGACATCAGTGTGCTTTACTCGGTGCAAGCTGGGCCATTCCCAAGGCATTCCCGGTGTGGACACAGTGTGCTTTACTCTCAGTTCCTCGGTGCAAGCTGGGCCATTCCCAAGGCATTCCCGGGCTGGACACTGGGCGGCACTGCTGGTGCCAGCATTCACTCAAACGCAGCCTGGGCGTTTCTGAGAGGAGGGAGAGGTGCAGCAGTGACAGGGACAGAGCCAGAACAACTCCCTAACAATCTCCAGATTCCTTCTAGTTTGAAAAAAATCTGGGTTGGTCTCCAAGTCAGGGAATAAAACTATCCATTAATCCAGAGCTGTTGGCAGTCAGGGCACTGCCTTAACATGTCACCCACTCTCTGCCACTGCCAACAGAGGCAGAGCAGCAGTGCCACAGCCCCCTGCCTACCGAAGATTGGTACAGACAGATGAGGAATCTTACCCTGGCTTTCCATCACCATCCTACTCAATAAATCATTATTTGAAACATCTAAAAACACAAGGCAAGACAGTCTAGTGCATGAGCTTAAATATCAACGTAACAAGAATTTAGCCCACAACTGATAACTGGTGTAATCAAGGTCCTTGCAGCATCATGCAGTGTTAGGATTTGTTTTTTACTTGATAGAAAGAACAGCAAGTATGATAGAAAGGACAGTACAGATACAGGAAATTGAATGTCATGATTCAACTGAATTAAAACAGGAACTTTTTTCAAGAACCTGCAGCCCAAACATGAAAAGGGTGTGAATTGCCCAAACATTCCTTGTTGACCTGGCTGAGCTGCCATAAATCAGGAAACAAGCCAAGATCCTGGCTGAGATAGCTTGGTCATGGGGCAGACTGGCATTGAACCTGCATGACTGCCCAGGAAAAATAACCCTTAGGAAAAAAATACTTAAATGAGGGTATTTGCAGATTCACTTTCTACTGAGATAGGTATCAGGAAGGAGTTTGCCTCAGGATGCTAAAAACGGATGTGGGGAAAACTAGTTTGGGGCTTTATTTTCTTTTTATTCTCTGGTTTAGTTTTATTTATTTGTTTATTCTGAAACATCAGCTCTGGGTTTCTGCAGTGGGTGGAATAACAGACCTGGCCTGGTCAAGTGGGCTGGTCAGGATGAAAGCACATGAATGGCACAGTTTCGGAGCATGTGTTCCTGAAGGGGGGAACATCATCTCCCTCTTTCCACTTTCTTGGGCAGGCATTATTTTTCAGGAATTAACCCAATTGGTCAGGCAGTGGGAATGGCTCCTTAGACTGGTAGATCAGCCTGATCCAGACCTCTTGCATTTTTGTTTGGTGAAACACTCTCCAGATTAATCAGTGCTCGGTGCATTTGGACCATGGGAGTGGCCATGGCATGAGCCTTTTAGAAATGCTGACATCTGGATGGAGGGAGCACAGCTTATCCTGAGTGGGTTATATGCTCTCTACCATTCAAATAGTATAGCAGGATTTGGGTTAAACTTCAGATTTTTCAGATATGATTTGTGTTTTTAATATCCCAAAGTAGTAGGCTCTCTCTTAGTGTGCAACAGAGCAGCCTGGGAACAGTCAAACCTGAAAACATGTTCAGGGATTCCCAGGAGTTTTCCAAATGTCCTTCAGATTGCTTCAGAAGGAGTTCTGGTGGTCCCTGTGCACTGCAAACGCCCACTCTGCACCCACTCCCAGGGAGGCTGAGGCTTGAAAACCTTGACAGAGTTTCAAGTCTGTGGCTTTGTGAGCCAAATGTTTCTGATGGAGTCAGAATTCAGTCAGCAGAAGGCTCTGCATGGCATCAGCCAAATCATTTAACTTCTTTACCCATCTGTTAAATGTGTAAGTACCACTTCAGAGAGGGCCGTGTGGTTTAATTTAATTAATGTTTCCAACAGACTTTGAAAGCATTCAAAGGAAGGTGCTAAACAAGGGCACAGCTTTTAGACTCTAAAAGGGGGTTTGAGCTTATTATGGTTTCTAAAAAGTTTAGTTTTAAATCAATGCAACTATCAAGAGACTTGTTGCTGCTCACACAGGGAGACCATAACTACTGTGCCCACCTTCCCAAGAGGTATGTGTGGGAAGGAGGTTGTATAAACTCCTCCCCTCTGCATAAAGAAATTTGAGATCAGTATGATAATAACAATATCCCTAGCAAACAAACCCCCAGTATTTGGGAAGGAGGATCTGTTTAGGATTTAGAATCTTGCCGACCTCCAGAGCATCCTTTAAAAATAGACTTTAATCCTATCTCAAATGCCAAACAAAAATACCAATTAAATGTCATTTTCTTTAAAAAGGAGGTGACCTTTTGTAGAAAAGGTGAAACATTAAATTAAAAAAAAAAAAAAAAAGCCCTTTAAAGTTAAAAGGGACCAAAACAAATTAACCTCCTGTTACACCCCAAGCTCCCAAGATGAAGCAAAGACAAAGATTTAACTGCAGGTCCTGGCAATGCACCAAACCCTGTGTGACTGATGCTGCTCTGCAGGGACAGTGTTCACACTGCTGAAGCCCTGGATAGCACAGCAGCAGAGCTGAGGAGGGGTCTGGTGTAAATTTACTTTCCTACAAGCCACCTGAGACACGATTGCTGAAGGACTGCAGCCCTACCAGTACAACCCAGCAGCTCACTGGTTTTAATAGCACTTCCCTCTTCTTTTGTCCCCCTCACAAACAAGCTCCCCCTCATCAAACACGGGCATCACCCCACACTTCCAGGGTGCATTTGCAAACACAGCTGGCTTTCTACTTCACAGACCCTTCCAAACACATGGCAGAATGGCTTTATAAGCTCAGGAGGGAAATTTTCATTTCTTAAGCCTTCTGAAGACTAAAGAGTTACACCAGAGAGACAAACATCTGCACTCAAACACAGTTCCCTCTAATGAGAGTGAAAGGAGAGTGAAAGGGTGTTTTAATGCTGTCAGAGGACTCAACACTCAGCACACTCTGCTCAAAACAGTTGCTGTATGTTCTGCTATCAACAATTCCTTTGTAATGGTAATGTTTAGGTTGTCTGGTTTGATGGAAACAGTGTCTCATATTTTTACAATAAGCACAACAGATCATGGAATCACAGTAAGTATTTGTGTCTCTTATTGCCCAAATGTCCAATTAAGTTGCCACCATTTTGCAAATCATCATAAAAACTGGTCTTTTCTTTCATTCCTTGGAATATTTGCCCCTGCTGTCTTCAGAGGAAAAGGTCTGATGTCAATAGGGTAGTATTGACTGCTAAATGAAATCCTGTTATGACACACTGTCACACTGGGCAGGATGGAGATGTACACAGTGGTTGGCTTTTAGTGCTGCAGTTACACACAATGTCTGATCACAGTTCATATTTTCTAATTTCTAATGTCAGAAAACCAGAATGACATTTAACATATGTGTATATTATATACATTATACATACATATACACACAGACATGCCCAAGCAACTTCCACTGTTTCAGTCACCAATATCTATTCCTGGCTGTACTGGTGACTCAAAGAGGAAAATGTACATGTCCCAGCCACTCCTGCCACGGAGCAATCCAGTCCTTTTGCAAGGGAACAACTCTGTGGTTCAGAAAAGAGGGATTGCTCAGGGTTACAGAGATGGTCAGAGGACTGTGGCAAGATGCAGAGTCTTTGACTTCTGAACTAGTGACATGAATCACATCTCAGCTGCAAATAATTTTCACTGGAGAGCTCTGCCTGGTTATCATGGATAACAAAGATAACAGAGGAATATGATCCTTCTGCATTTGTAGGGTGTTGTGTCTGAGCCCTGCTCAGCTGTAGTGCTCCTTACTTACATTAGTGTGTACAACTGCTCCTTGCACACTGACCTACACATCACTGTCACTCTGTGATATTCCCGCTCTTCAAACATTCCTGTTTCATTCCCAGGATCTGTCTTTCTAATAACTTTCTTTTCAATGCATGTCCCAGGTACTTTGCCAAGAAAATGCAAGAAAGAACTGCTGGCAGTAAAACTACGGAACAGACCAAGTAAGCAGGAGCTGGAAGACAGGAATATTTTCCCGAGGAGGACGGATGAGGAAAGACAGGAAATCCGGCAGCAAATTGAAATGAAACTCTCAAAGTAAGTGCTGGGAATGAGAACAGGGAGGAACCTCCCTTTGCAAGGGAGTGTCCTCTGAGTCCTGTCGGATGAGACACTGTGACCCACCCCCAAGTCCATGCACAAACTGATACAGCACATTTTCAGCTGTCAATCAGCCACAGGAAAAAAATAAATCTTAACTCTTCAGTCAGGATTGCCTTGATTCCAATAGACACCAAGACAGAAGTCAGTGTGGGAGACAAAATTCTGCCAAATCTACCTGCAGCCCCACTGATGTAATCAAGATTTTGAGGTCCTGCTTTAACAAAAAGAGTAATATAATTATTTATTAACCTGGTTTGGCTTTGTCAGCACTAGCTGAATTTGAGGATAAAGGCAATCATTCCAGCTACTTGCACAGGGGAAAGCTGCTGTATTGGGGGTTGCATTGGTGCTTTAAGGAAGAGGCAGCATTGCCCTCACCTGGGGAAGGTACCTGTGTCGGTCCAGCTGCAGGCACAGCAGGATGGTCTCTGGTTTTCCTCAGTAACCAGGGCAACAGGGTAGTGCTGTGAGAGAAAAACCATCTCTGTGGCTTGTAGCCTAAAGGAAAGATTTAAGATGACTCTGAGGCTCAGACTGCAGCATTTGGTTTGTGTATGTCTGTTTTTTTTGAGAGTTCCATTTGGATATCTGCAAACATGAATATTTTAGATGAGACAAAGTGGATTGTTAAATAATCTGTGCTCTGTCTGCCCACACTGGGACAGTGAGCGCTGCTCGCCGCTAAAATGCTTGGAATCAAATTGAGAAACATGAATAGAAGTTCATTTTCAAGGCTTATTAAATATTAAATATCTCAGGCCTCTCCTGAAAGAAACATTTATTGATATTTAGACTAGCTCATTCATGTGTGTGTGCTTTTGATTAAACTTTACCTCAGGGGACAGGGAGTGAGAAGCACACACATGCATCAGAGCACGAGTCCTGAGGGACCAGAGTTTGTGCAGGAAAACATCCCTGCCAGCACCACGCTTGTCCTCAGCTGAGGAACGTGCTGTTCAGTGAACAGAGATGAGATTTTGGGTGCCCTTCAGGATGCCCCTGCCCCTGATGGAGGCATTGCCTTCCTCCAATCTCAGTGATTGCGTGACAGCACTTTGCTCCCAAAGGAAAATGGTGCCTCGTGCCAGTGACTGCACAAGGCAGTGCAGATGCCAGACCCTGTCACAAAAAACATGTCCATCCCATACAAGTAGAAAAGATCCTATTACAATTTGCTTTAAGTTCCAAAAATTACAGGCAGAGCAAATCACAGACGTGTCCCATTAATAACTATCGGAAGGAAAGCATCACGGCCCTGGACCATCTGGATCCTGCAAGCCTGTGTATTCATTGCAGGGGAATATTTAAGCTGCACTGCAATATTGCTAATTCCAGTATTATGGCCAGTCAATTGCTCATAAAATCTCTTCACAGGTCAGGAGCCCAGTTTGATTGCTCTAAAATACACAAAAAAAATGGTTTCTGCCCCAGTGCATCCCTAAAACCAAGTTCACCCGTCACAAAGTATTCACTGAATGAGAAGGTTATGTCACATCCAGCCACATCTCACACTGCTGAAATGCCTGGAAGGTCCCATCTCCTTTCAGTCCAGCCTGACTTCTGTTAGTGTGAAAGGTCTAATGGAATTGCAGCTGCAGGTGGTATAACTACAGGCTTTATCCCTTTCTTTTCATTCATCATTTAGCTTGCTTAATAATGAGCCTAAGGAATTCCTTTCAAGGGTTCATGCCTGAAGTCAAATGTCAAGGAATTCAAAAGGAAATTGCTGGACAGGTGAAGGCAAGGGCTGGTCATGACCAGGAGTGTCTATAGGGGAATGCAGTGAAGGGACCCTCCATGCTGTCTGCTCTGGTTTTGTGGAACAATCTGTGGGTGCAGCCCATTGATCTCATTGGTGATGTCTAGAGGTTGGCTAAAAGCCATCTTTGTTCCAAGTGCTGGAAAACATGCCTTCATTTAGCTCCTTCTTCCAGGAATGTGGAATACTGAGCGCATTTCGGGGAACAGACGGTACAGAGATTGCTGGAATAGCCAGGAATGGCAAAACAGATTGGAAGCCCTCTCCCACACAACTTCCAGCACATATGTGGGCTGGCAGAGCTCAGCTCAGCTCTTAACTCATCCACCAGAATAGACATGAGCATGCAGACAAGCTCAGGTGGTGGATGCATCAGGAAAATATTTACACCAGGAAAAGCAAGTAGGTGTTCAAAAATACCCAACCACCAACCAACCAAGTAAAAATGGGTATTGGTAAAGGCCAGAGAGTTAAAGCCCAGAGATATCCCTCTGGAATTTCTGACTAGGACTCACCCCACAAAACTCAGACCACCCCAGAGCCCCCACTCAGCACAGTCTGGCAGCAGCGTGGAAATGGAAATTCTTGGATGAGATTTGGAGGTCTTTACATTCATTCATTTCACTGGTACTTGTGCAGCATAATCTCTTTGTGACAACTTGGAAGTTTATAGCTAAGGAACTTACTGCTGAGTGCTGAGGTGGGAAGTACAGAGCAGGAAATGGGATCCACTAGGGATGTCTGCTCTCTGTAGGGTTTTGCCACTACCTGTGCAAGTGAGAGCATGTTCCTGCTGCCATAGTAGTAACACTTGATAACAGCAAATCGTGTCCCATCAGGTTATAGACCTGTTCTTTAGCACAAAAAAATAATGTATGGGCAGATTAGGGGGTAGTTATTCAATAGCTGTCAGCATAAGAAGGGCAAGAAAACAAGATCAATATTTTTCAGCACAGTTGTAGGATTTGATAGTCTGTAGCTGTCTAGCAAATTGCCTCAGTCCCACAGCTAACACAGCCTAGCTCTGTACTCTGGAGGAAAAGCTGTGCTGACATACCTAATGTGCAAAATACATCAAATAATAGTGTTTATGTAACTTCAGAAATGGGGAGACAAAAGAATAACATCTTCTCAAAACCACTGTATTTTTAAATGGTTCTGGTTGTAACACATTTCAACAGTAGCTGTGAGCCTGCTGAGAAAATCAACTCTCTGCTATCACTCTGATGAGTCTTTATGAAGTCAAAGCTAAAATCCCTTTTTTTCTTCACTTTCCCACTTATTCCATCTCAAAAGAGAGACTGAGGAGTTTATCTTTTGAGCCAAATTCTACTTTTACAGCAGTGCAAATCCACTGACTTCAGACTTATTATTGACTGACAGCAGCATGAGGATTCCAGGAGTCATTTATGTGCATTGCTGCTTTTGGAAAGTGTATTTCCTGTATTTCGTGCTCCCAGCCAATTTAATCTACCACTTGTTGCCGTGGAAACATGCACTTCTCCCTGCTCCTCCATCCAAGATGGCAAGATTCCATTTTTCCCAGATTTCCCTATGCTGTAGTGCTTCTCTTAGTAATTCATGCATCTCCAGTGCCCCAAACCATGGTGCACACTTGCAATATTCTACTGTGCATTAGGCAACAGGGCTCCCAGGAGATCTTGGTTCCCATTAGTAAGTGCTTGGAGTACAGATAATAAGCCCTCGATGGAATTCAGTGAATTTGGAGCTCTTTGTGTCACGAGGCAGAAAAGACATTTGCAAGTACAATTATTTGCAATATCTACTTTCTGTCTGACAGGCTCATGTTGTTCTAGAGGGGGTTTTAGCTGAAACCTGGGGGAGTAAAATAGTTGCCAGACTGAAGAGTGATGCAGGAAAAGATTGCTTAATTAAATTTGATCTCTGACTGTTTAGAAAGTTGATGTTTGAGCTTCCTGGGTCACTGGCGCTTTTCAAGAATGCCTTATATAACCACAAAGATGCTCCAGTATTACTTAGTGTTCAATGAATACATGAATTCCTGGAAAAGATTATACTTCATGTTCTCTTTCACCTCCTTGGGTATTTGCATAAGTAGACAAGATGTGTTAAGTGGCACTTCGGAGATTATGGAAACAGGAATTCACATACAGAAATGGGAGGAACGATGGGTTTGTGGACACAGAGCAGAACCAAAACTTGAGCACCTAAAACTGATCTTTACCACATTGAAAATCTTGGCCTGGGTAAGTGGATCATGCTGGGGCAAGGCTTCTTGGCAAAGCAAAGTGAAAAGCAGGTATCTTTATTCAGTGCTTTACCACATCTGGAATCTGTAGTTGTAGTGCTGCCCTGAGGTTCTTGGAGGGCCATTTTCAAGTTGACTTGCCCAGAAAGTGCAGCTGTAGCTAAAAGCACAGTCAGATTAGAGCCTGGTTTGTACCTCAGCCTCAGGTAACAGAGTGTGAAGTTTGCGGTGCTGCTTGAGACAGAACAATACCAGGCTAAAAGCACTTCAGATTTGGAGCCTAAAATACAGCCTGACAGTTCAGCACAGAGCCATCACAAAGGAAATGTTACCTACTGATGACACAAAAGCTGTCCTGTTTCCCAAGGATGGCACGACCAGTGCCACTTCCTCGCAGAAATGTCTCAGTGCAGCTTTGCTCACTGAAAAGGCATCAGCCCTCCAAATTGAGAGGTTCAGCAGGAAACTGGGCTGAATCCCCAGAATTTAGGGGAATATTTTTTTTTACTTTGACCAAAAAGGGGATGTGTGTGCCCAAACCACTAGTAGCCCTAAAGAAGAAGTTAAGTAGCTACTGAACTGAGCCCAGTTTAGAGACTCACCTAAATTCACCTGGAGCTTAGCAATGTTTTTTGATGAAACTCCAACTCCCAGTAATTGCACTTAAAATCAGGGAAGTGCCCTGATTTCAGAAGGCTGGGAAGACTTGACACAGATTCATTGCAGAGACAGAAAGGCAAGGGCAGGCACGAAGAACAGCTCAGCTGTCAGCACTAATTAGCTATGTACAGTTTAATGCTTTTCCTTCTCATTTGGCAGCAATGAGCCAGGTAGCATCTCCCTGATGCTAAAAATAACCCCAAGCACAGCGTGGGCGGCTGTGCAGCCTCAGCTCCTCACATGAGACACGAGCTATTTATAGAGCCAGTTTAATTCTGGGGGCGT